AAGATTCTCTATCATTTCATAAGAAAAAATAATTTTTTTTTTAAATTTTGGGACACCAGGAGACACCTCAGGATTGGGGGTTGCGACAGTCAAAGGGTTAAGTTTAATTAACAATGAGATAGTGTTTATTATAGGTGTCACAAACATATTTTACACTAAGTTACCATATCATGACTGGAACAATTCACAAATAAACCTCACTTGGCAGAAATATAATGTCTGTTCTGAACCACTGTCAGGTCACAACTGAGCAAGGAAAAGAAAGACAAGAACATAGTTCAGAAGAGGGGAGTTGCAAGAAGGGAGTGGTGGTAGTCAAGGTAGCTGCAATGGTAATAGTAGTAATGAGGTAGTAGTATTAATGGTTGTACTAGTGGTGAAGCAAGAGTAGTAGTAATAGCAAAAGAATTAATAATAAGTAATAGTAATAGAACAAAAAGAACAGAACATTGCAGAAGACCTGGTCCACACTGGGTAGGACTAGTGTTATGGGAGTAAATTAAATGTCAAGGCAGTGGAGTTCAAAGTAACTCAACATCTGTTAAAACAGGGGCAGAGGACTGCAGTAGGCCAACTGGCTCATAAAAGGAAAGAGGAAGCAAGAAAAGGAAAAGTCAGAAGACAAGAAAGGCAGAGGACTGGTCAAGTGGAAAGGTAAGGTTAGGGCATAAGTTTTCTGAAGATTAAAGCATTTGACAATATATTGAGAAGACAGGCCTCTACAGAAACAAAACCAGGATGGTTTGGAATGTTGTGTATAAGGCTAATTCAATAAGCTGGCATCTGTGAAGGCTATATAAAAGTTGGTGTTTAAGTATGGGCCAATTTGCTTAATGCAGTGCTCCTGTGCCCCTTGGGAACAGGTATTAGTGTCAAGTTAGTTTGATGACTACTGCCTTAATGTAATTTACTCTTGATACTCTTTATCACTAGTCCTGACCAGCATGGGTCAGTAGGTCTTCTGCAGTGCTCCTCTGTTATGTTCCCATGTGGTACTACTACTACACTACCACCATTACTCATTTTTTCACTACTGCTATGCTGTACTGTTACTACTAGTGCTGCTGCTAATTCTACTTCCACACCCTTCTTCCAGCCTATCTTCTGGTCTATTTTTCCTCACTCAGTTGTGATGTAATAGTGGTCCAGGACAGACTGAAACATTGTCATTAAGTTTCCTTTCCTAAGTGCAGGTTAAATTATCTGTAAATATTTTGCACTAAACTCTAATGATCATGATTTTAAGAATTAGAAAAGGTGTGCTGTACTTTTGAGATGAATATGTACCACGAATATTATGTGAAGATGTTAAAATTTTGACTGTTAGTGTAAAAGAACACTAATAAATTTTTTAGACATTATATACCATACTGCACTCTAATAAATTTTGAGATCCTCCCACCTCCTTCCTTCCCCAAAAAGTCCTGAAATTTGTATATTCGTCAATAACTTGACCTTGGTTTTGAGGGGCAGTATAAGATTTGAACATTGAAGTGCATTAATTAGTCCGGAATACATATGCTGTGAATGGGTTATTTAGGTACATTTTGTTTATGTACATAATATACTTGCTTAAAAAATGTTTCCCTATCTAATGTTTCATTGGATTTTAGCCTAACACTCAGATACTGTAATCTGTATGAAAACTCATAAAACTGGAAGCTAATTTCCTGTGAAGATAGAGGGTAGTGTTAAATTCCAACAAATTTTAACCAATTAAATTTGTATATTTAAGGTGAACTATAGTTAATGTGTAAGAAGTATGAATCCAACATGTGGTAGAGGCAGAACCCACAGTAAATGGATTTTAACTCTTGAGTATTACTCAAAAAAAAAAAAAAAGGTCGACTTCTAAATTTTTGTGCCTAAAAATTTCCTTAGGATCTCTACTTATAAAGAGAATATGTAGTAATAATTTTGAAAATAACTATACTCTGTATATATTTGTATATGTATATATACGTATAAAATTGTATATACAGTGGTACCCCGAGTTTCATACAGCTCCCACCTCGAACAATTATGTAAGTGTATTTTTGGGGGTCTGAAATGGACTAATCTAATTTACATTATTCGTTATGGGAACAAATTCATTCGGTAACAGCACTCGAACAGTCTTCCGGAACGAATTATGGAGGAAACTCGGGGTACCACCATATATGTATATGCACATGCATGCAGGTCACTGCTGATATATCTGGTTAAACTACCTCATTTCACATGAAATTCTTAATAAAACATCTTGTGGACTGGTCATTTATCTGCAGGGAAGGAAATCTAGATTGAGTATTGACTGGGTGCTTCTCTGAATCTTATGAACCAAAGTTATGATACAATTGCAATTTAAATAGTATTTCATAATGGGTATTTCATTATCTTTGAAGGCTCGAATATCAATTAAATTTTCAATGTGTGTGTGTGTGTAAAAAATATGGACAGAATTCATATAACCTAAACAGGTACTGGTCAGGTATTTATGTAACATAATGGTATGAAACTAAATATACTTACAGGGTACATGTCAAAATTACTAAGATGGGGCATATGAATTGTAGCAAATTATGTATGAAGTTCACAAGTAAATCCAATATCTTTTGAAGTTAGTATAAAGATTAGTTAACTTTTGACACTACCAGTCCAAGCCTTTAAGGATAAATTACTAAAGTCTTGAAAGATGAAGCATCAGAGAGCTAACATGCATATACAGCAATTTATTAACTGCTGAATTTCCTATATTAGTTCATTAAATAATTAGGGCCATATCAGGGAGATGCACGTTTCATAACTTGAAAGCATGATTTTAAATATTCAGATGTCAAAAAATTATATACTTTAATTGGAATGTATAAAAAATGACACCAGAATATGTATAAAAAAAAAACAGTTGATGTTCAAAAACATTAAAGATGTGAGACAAGTTGTAAATGCATCTCCTAAATATGTATCTTAGTAGCCGAGGAAGGTGGAGAAGGGCAAGTTAAACGCTGGATTTGTACGAAACATTTTATATATTATAGAGAATAGGAGATTATAAAATGAAATACATTCTGCATCTTGAGGAGGATTAAGTGCACTGTCCAGCTTGTATGTTGCATCAATAGTTCACTGTTTCAGTAAATCCATTCCCAAGGTTATCAGTAACAAGCCTTCTGGATTAATCTAAATTTTGGTTTAGATGATTAAATTGAGTTAATATTAAAATATATACAGGTAAATTTCTTCCTAAATAAGCTTTTTAAGTAATGCAAATCCTGACAGTTAGTGTCCTATCAATAATTTAAAATAAATATTTTGTCCAAATAAGTTGGAAAACATAAAAACAGTAAAAACACAAGGATTACTTTTATACTGCACTGTCTTCTATTAAAAAAATTATTTAAAGTTTATCATAATTTACATTATTTTTTTTCAGAATGAATTATGAGCAACCATGACAAATATTCAGATGCTTCCAAGTGTGCCACACTTGTGTATGACATTCATGGAATCACATTTCATTGTCAATAGGATGTTCAACTCGCACCAACCATGAATAGTTTCACTAATTTAGCTGTATACAGAAAATACATCTAAAGTCTAAGTAGACTGTTGCATAAATGACAACAGAAATTTTAATTTTTTTTTACATAACCCTGCAAGGAAATAGGTTGGAGTTAGGTCAACACCACCATTAGGTACCTCTGAATGGGACAGTTGCCAACTATGTTCTCCTCAGTAACTTAACATTTTAAATGGGGGGGGTAGCACCATTAAAAAAAAAAAAAAAAAAAAAATCTAAAGTAAAATAATGACAAAAGGGGGGCTTTCACATTTATGTAAATAATTAGAATGGAGATTCTTGTGCTTAAATAATGTAATTATACATTTACTTTCACTTGCCAGGTTAAAATGAAAAATTTAGTCTAACCAGAAAACACAATGGTACACTTGAGTATACTTTCAGTTACATGCAAGTGTGTAAGGGCTCCGGGAGGGGGGATAAAAAAAAAAAAAATATGGAACAGCTAAAGCTCTGAGGAAGTCACAACCAAGATAAGGCAACATAACAGAAGATATTTAATAAGGCTGAATTTGTATCCTATGCAAAAAAAAAAAAAAAATTGGCACATGTGCATACAACGGCTTAACCACAAGTAATGGGAAAAAAAAAGGGAACCTCCACCCTAAAATGGTTTGATGTTAATGCATAATACATACTACTTAAATCTACTTGTGATAATTCTGGTAAGTACTACTACTTACAATAATATTTGCACATACTGAGACGAAGGCAAATCTTGGATGCTTTCCAAACAACCAAGTATGGCACAAACAACGGCGACAATGTGAAAACTAAAAATAGAAATGACCTTCGTACAATAGGCTTTCTACCCCAACAACACTTCTCAGTTACTTGTCATTGCATAGGTTCATGCTTAAGTACATTAAATGGTTAAGTACAGTTACGAGATGAACAACTATGTACACAAGTGTCACACCTTCACCTAACATTTATAACTGCCATACAATCAGCAATATTAATCCCTAAAAAAGTACTGCAGTACAGCATTGACTCCTTTCTTTTAAGTAGAAGATCTGCCATTTGAGTTGCTTCTTAAGGCATATAGTTGCATATTGTAGCACAATTTATCTTCTATTGGCACATTAAACTCTGAATATAAGAGGTCTGCTAGGCTTCACTATGGAAGGCACTTTAAGAAGTTGTGTAATATGTATACTGAAGGCTTCAAAATCATGCTTTTGAAGTCTTGCAAGGCTAAAATAAACCAAGGCACTTAAATTCATGTTTATACACATTCAAATGTGTAAGTTAACCTAACATTCCTGAAATTAATAGTTTCTCAGTGCTGTATGACTTGTACAGGTTCAGCGCTTTTTTTTTTTTATCATAGTTTCTCTAATATCTAAAATAGTCACCCTACAACAAACATTTTGGATGGCACCAAAATAATTCCTTTGATACACTTTTTTTTTTTATATATAAAGTAGATGCCCCTAGCTTTGCCATTAAATATTCAAGGAACAATTTTGCCATTACAGTCATCCCTATTGGTAAAGTTTAATTTTTTTTTTTTTTTCAAAAACTGAAATATTTCAAACTGAGTTTCCTTCAACTCAGACTAATTTCTTTAGTTTCAAAAATAAAATTTCTTAAAATGCTTAATATAACCTTTAGTACCTCATTTTTGAGAGGGTGGGTTATCTCTAATGATAAACTGTACAAAGTCCCAAAAGTGAACATGACCTTTTGAAACTTACATGCATTGTCAATAGTAATTTGTGAAATTATATACTTCATGGTAATTAACATTCAAAGACTGATGTGCAATTTAGCAGATACACTAGCTGGGCCAAAGTTTTTGGATACTTGTTACATCCAAAATGTTTGAACCCAAGACAATGCATCTTCATACCTAAAATTTGAGATCTACATTTTAAGAGATAATATGGCATACCAATCTATAAATTAGTGTGTGTGTGTGTGTGTGTGTGTCCCCTGCAGGACTTATGGACCTTGTTGTACTGTATATAATAAGCGTAATGCTCCATGTATATACATTAAAAACTGGTTTCAAGATGATCCCAAGTCATATCATTTTAATGGGCTAAATATTTAATTCCTATCATCTTGTGCTTGGTTTACAATTTTATGCCTTTGTAAAATTCTTTTTCTCATAATACCTTCACAAAGATATTAGCATGTTAAAAAATTTAATATCACCACTGTTTAATTAAAAAAAAAAAGCTGCACCTTCACTTTGGTTTTATCTTGACAACAGTGTCCCTTTTATCATTCAATGACTGGACTTGAGGATACCAATCCAGTAAGTCGCATAAAATGAGGTTTGTAAAAGGCTCAAACCTGTCATATGACACTTTGTAATAGAAGCTATCGAGATTCTTTAAACAACTATCTACTATTCTATTTAATAAAGATATAACACCAACAACACAAAGACCCTAACGATAAAGCTGTGTGACCAAGCTTAACATTTAGCACCATCTCTAAATGCACACTGTATATAGTACCAGTCTCGAGTAACAAACTTCATTACGCTGTATACAAATATAATTAATTTCTCACTGATTCATCACCTCTATTACTGGAGATTCTAAGTAGGAGCTGCCTGTTTCTGAGCATTTTCCACCCTAGGAATGCTTTGAACTTTGTAAAGGAGGTTTTTGTTGTGCTATTTAGTAATTCTACACGAGTTAGTACTTTAAAGTTTAGTTGACAAACTGGAGGTTGTCATGCCCTATGGGCAGGCAGTAGGAACAAGTGGGCACCATGGCCTCCACAAATGTGCACAGGTTTCCCTGTGCCCGCCCAGAAGGTAGCAAGCCCTGCCCTTATTCACATATCGACAGTGTGGCAGCCGCAAGACCAAGAGGTCCAACATGCCCTTGTTCTTGGGCGACATTAAGCGGCACAGTGGGCACATACCGACGATAGTGGAGCTGGGTGGGCGATGCGGCGGCACCCAGAGTGCAGCGCGGTTAGTGGTGTGTCCTAGGGTGAGTGGTGGTGGTGGAGTGGTGGTGGTGGTGGTGGTGGTGCCTCAGTGCTGGTCAGTAGTGACACGAGGGACACAAGAGAAGGAGCCCGGGGCGGGTTAGCAACGCGCCAGGTCAGCTGAGGGACCAGGATCTTCCGAGCCAGAGGGGAGTTAACAGAAAAAGAGAAACGAATGTTAGTACATTATACTGGTGCAGGATGCCCCAGCATTAAAATCTAAATATGATTATTATGATTAATAATTATGAACTTTACATGTGAAGGTGCACTGTAACAACCACCCTTTAACCCACTAGCTGAGGACACAAAGCTGCAGTATATATGTACAGTGCCCACCTACAGTTTTGCTCTACTGTGCCTTGCTTGGCAACATGCATGCGGAACCACCTGCTATGTGAGTGACAGCGCCAGCCATAAATAGGCAGCAAAGGATTTAGGATAGGAAAAAGAAAGCGGTACCCTATAGTCAAGGGTAAGCAGAACAAAAGTAATGTGGGTGAATATGCAGTTACATGTCCTGAGTGAGGCTATGGAACGATGATTTAATGTAACTGCTAAAACAGCATTTAGTAGTTTTGATACAACAGTAATTCTCAAATTTAAGTGATTATGGGCTGCTTCACAAGTAGTCAGTACAAAATGTGTAAACCTTGATATAATGCACTAATACCAGAATACTGTAGATGATTTTTCTTTCAGTAAAGTTTCTTGCACTTTTCATCCATTAAGAAAAATGTTAGTGAAACCCTTTTAGGTTTTAACAAATTGGGGAAGGGGAGATATTTTTTTATAGAATAATGTGCACTAATAACAGAAATAGGTAGAAAAGACAGACAGACACACGTGTTAAGCCAATCTTGGAGTATGCAGCACCAGTATGGAACCCACATTTGAAAAAGCATGCCAAGAATGTGGAGAAAGTGCAGAAGTATACAACAAGGCTTATTCCTTAGCTGAAGAGCATCAGCTATGGGAAGAGGCCAATGGAAATGGACCTAATGACACTGGAGGACAAGAACCAGGGTCAGGTTGGGGAAGGATACAAAATACTCAGGGGAGCTGATAAGGTTGACAGGGATAGGTTGTTTGAAAGGTGAGAAATGAGAACTTGGGGACATTATTGGGGGTTAGTCAGAGTAACTGGGAAGTGGAATGATCTTGGTGAGGAAGTGGTTGAGGCAGCCCCATGCATATTCTTAAGAGCAAGTACAATAGGGCTCATGAGGCTAAGAGTGAATCTGAAAAGTGGCAAGATAAGAGAGCCAGGATCTGAGAATCAACCTCTGCAATCATAAATAGGGAAGTGCTGTATAGCCCTTGTGGCTTAGCGCTTCTTTTTGATTATAATAATAATAAAAATAGGGAAGTACACAGTTGAAATTAATAAAAGAGATTGGGAGAACCCATAGTTTAACAAAAAAAAAAAAAAAAAGGGGGGGCAAAAAGCCATGAGCAGAGGATCATAAAAAAGCGCAGAACACACACAATGCTAGAAATTAGGGAAGCTAGGAAAAGTCAGAAAGGGGTATTTCCAACAGATACATTCCTTCAGGCAGTTCCTGGGTAGTGGGCTGTGGTACTCATGTTGGACTGTAGGAGCAATGATCCCCGAAACCATCGATAGGTAGAGAATGAAGGAGGAAACGGTAAGATTGGCATAGCAACACAGAGAACCAAAGTTACTTCACAATCACATCAGAAGAAACATTATAGTAAGGGATCAAAAAAAGAACATATGCAATAGCCCTAACAAAAGATGCTTGTGTGTGTTTACAAATGAGCAAGGATCAGTACTGTTAAAGAGAAGACACAGTGAAAGCTATCAAATGAAAATAAATGAAGAAAGACTTGGTGGAAGTCGACACATCAAGGGCATCAGGACCCAATGGAACACCCCACATAAAAAATGAAATACAAATAGTAAAGATGGGGTAATTATGAGACAACTGCAAGACAGCATATGTAACAGTAAAGAAGACTGGTAAATAATTCAGGTTTTCCTATGTCCCAATGAGTAATAAAGTAGAATTTTAGTGGAAATTTAATGTTATTGGAATTTGAGGCAAAATCACTTATAAAGCTCGGAAATGAGAATATTAGACCTGAGAGAGTACCACCAGGAAGCAAAATTAAGGACCTATGAATATTTGTTATCCTGAAAATGTTCCCTGAAGCACATAGATATTAAAATCTGCAGGATATACTAAGTCTGCAAACATAACAGTAGAATTCAGGAACCAACAAAGACAACTTTTAAAACAAACACTCATACATGCAACCCATTCTAGAGTACTGTATCTTGAAGAAACCCTTATCTAGCAAAAAACAAAATGAAACTTTTGAAAGTAAAAAAGGAGTACAACTAGACTGGTGCCAGGTTGAGAGAGATGAAGTTTGAGTAATGAATAAATAGATGGGATATGATATACTCCTAATGAATTTCATTAGCCTTTCTATTTACAAGTATCTATAGCTTGTTTGAATTCTCCCAGTCTAAAAATAAATGGTGAATTCTGATCAACTCTAAATTTTGATTTTATAGAAATTACGTTTGAATTTATTTAAAAATTCCTGGAATCTTTCCAAATGTTTAAAAAAAATCTTTCAAAATTTTTAAACCCAACAAGGAAGTCAAGGTTTTAAATTCTTATAGTTCAGAATTTTACAAATTTAGATGGCCCCCTTCCAAACAATTCACATTTCACTGACCAGGTTTAAAACACACTACATGTATACTGATTAAACAGCTAAAATAAATTAAAATGTTTAATGGTATAGACAATCCAGATTGTTCAAGCATATAAAATAACTAGTAATGGTACTTTAAATACTTGTGAAAACCAAAAACCAGTTTATTTTAAATTAAGCAACTACAGTATAAATTATGTGAAAATGATTGATTAATGTTTTCATAAAGGAAGATAAAATATCGGTCAGTGTAAGAAAGTGACCCTGAAGCTGAAGACAAAAGCAAAAGGATATTTGACCCCCCTCCCCCCACACTATTATAAGGCTACTGTCCCCACTACTGGCTGGTTCCTCAGGCAAGCACACACACAAGGCCTTAAAGACCATTAGTCAGGATTGTACGTTAGTCATGACTACGGCCCAACAAATACCTCAAGGCTGGTTAGTCTTTATGCAAAGTGAATATTAAATTATTACTTTTCTAAGGATAGCTGTTTTCTTTATATTATTACTATGTACTTAATGGTGTTGAAGAATCCTGATTTGTGCACTTTTTCGTCTTCTTGGAATGAAAAGCAATATTAACTTTTCTTCATAAATTTATTTCCATGACTTATTGTATTAAAAAATCCAGAGATATACACATACTTTGGGCTCTTGTAGCTGTGACCTGTACTTCAAAACAAGACCACAATATATCTTGGGCCCTAGTTTTCAGTGGTGATGCAACCACATTCCTTATTAGCTACCCTTCTTAAAGCATAATTCAAATGACTTAAAGTACAATAAATGGAAACATGGCAGATATCAACTCCCAAATTGTGAGGCAGGCCAGAATGGTCAGGGATACAAGGATTGATGCAGTACCTCGTGATCTACATTGGATTTTCATTTTTCTGAAAGCTTGTGCTACTCACCATCTAGTAATGAGCCCTGGATGGTAATACAGTTATATAATTTTACATACAATCCATCAGAATTAAATTTGGAATATAAAAATAAACCCAATCATGGATCAAACTAGGTAGGAGAAAGGAAAAGGTGTGTGTGTATGTGTATATGATCAGTTGTCAAAGACTTGGCATCTCATGTGTGTGCATGTGTGTGTGTGTGTGTATGTATATGTATATATATATATATATATATATATATTATATATATATATATATATATGTATGTATGTATGTATGTATGTATGTATGTATGTATGTATGTATGTATGTATGTATGTATTTGTGAACTTGCACTCCATATATTTTTTTTCTTTTTTGATTCAACAACCCCTTCCCAGCCAAGGCAGGGTGATCCAAAGAAGGAAACATATTTCTCACTCATTTATTTGCCATCTTCCCAGAAGTGTACCTATATCACAATTCAGAGTACTCTGACTGCAACTTCCCCACCCTTCATTCAGAGGGCAGGTACTGCCCTTCTCACCTCCAGGATTTAAGCCCAACTAACTGACTGCCCTGAATCCCTTCATAATACCTCGTTCACACTCCAATGGCTTGTCTATAAAAATCCACTTGTCTTCATTCACTCCTGTCAAACACACTCGCACAAGCCTGCTGGATGCTCAAGCCTTCTTTACTCAGTCCCCTCCAACCATTCCTGGGATGACCCTTACTTCTCTTACCTTCTACCCCAGATTTATACACCCTCTTTGTCATCTGATGCTTCTATAGTGTGTGCAAGTGTATGTGCATGTGCATGTTTGTTTTTTCTACATATTTCATTACTGCTGACCAGCCTCACCTGGGGTCAAGTAACACAACGTAAGGGGGCATGGTGAGAACTCCTCCAGCTATAGGCTTCCAAATATTTTGGAAATACATATGGACCTTCAAATTTGTCAGTAGAAAAAATGCACCAAAAATATTTATAATGTCAAAGAAATGCTGTTAAGGACCAAAGGAGACCAACTAGGGTTGGAATTAAATAACCCCTTAATTATGCACTACTTAATAAATATTCCAAAGAAAATTTATTTGTTAAAAACTATAGATATGCCCTCTGGAAAAAAAATGCATGGACGGAATGTTTACAAGAAACTTCTAAGTGACATACTGAAGGAGAGTATAAAGTATCTCACCAAGCCCGAACATCATAAAAATATATTTTACATGACTAAATCATTTCCCCACATCAACAGTCAACATATAATTGAGTAACCTCTTATAAAATCTTGAGGATACACAAATACTGAAGAACTTTTTTTTAAGTCTTCATCAGTCACCAGTTTAACAATAAATGAAACATTAAAACTAGTTTTATCTACACTAACTATTGAGGTGGGGGAAGGGGATGGGGGAGCATGAAATATGGGCTATAGTCTCAAGGACATTCAACTAACCTGGGTTGTGGCCTACGAGAGCGTACCCGTCCTTTGATAGGGGTGCTCCCGAGCCTGGCCCAAATGGCGCCGCTGCTTGACCGCTACACCTGAACAACACAACGTGATGGCATCATGTGGCAACGTACACACCAAACAACGGCTCAGGCTTACCAAAATTAAGCCCATTCACAGCAATGGAACTTTTTTGGCATTGTTTACTGATGTATGAATTCTAAGAAGAACTTGCTATACTATCTTTATGTAAGTCGCAAACTCCTGGTGTCAGTACACCAGGTTATCTTAGTTCATACATCAGAAACAAAGCTTGCTTCAGAGCCCCATATGATCCTCCATTCATGCAAGCACTATTTCTCATCTCTGGGAAAAAAAAAATCTACCTGCATCACCAATATGCTTCACAGTATATTACACTACTGACACATCATATAATGGAAATTACACAGAATCAACATGCTGCTGAATGGCACTTTGCCACTGCATCCTTTTGTGTATAATGTATAAAAAGCAACTGACAGTATCAAAGCTAAACAATAGCAGCTTTATTACATGAAAGTCCTCACTGGTAACTAAAAAAAAAAAAATACCCGGTACAAAAATAAATGATAAGAAAATCACAAGTCTATATGAGCCAACCTATATTAAAATCCAACAAAATTTGGGGCCCACAAAAGTGTTTTTCTGATCATAAAATGTTTTGCAGGAATAAATAAAAATTTTTTAAAATTTTTTCGAAAAAAGGGTTGGAAAAAAAAAGGGCCCCCCGGGTTCCCCCCGGGGGATTGGGGGGTTCGCAAAACACAGATTAATTTAAATTGTATAAAAGCTTTTCAAATTTTTCATTAATTTAATGAAAAATTAACCGCTGAAACCTTCAAAAATTTAAATTTTAAAATAATTAAAAAAAAAAAGTTTTAAAAATTTTTCATTTTTTTTTAAAAATTGTAAAAAAACAAATTTATAAAAAAGTAATTTAGTCCTTTTAAAAAAAAAGTTTTTAAAAATTATAAAAATTAAATTTAAAATAAAATTTAAAATTAAAATTCGGGGTTTTAAAATTTTATAATTTAATAAAAATTTTAAAAAAAAAAATAGGTATCAAATTATTTTTATTTTTTAAAAACCTTATTTTTTTAAAAACCCCCTTTTTTAAAATTACCTATTTTTTCCAAAAAATTTAAAAATTAATTTAAATACAATTATTATAAATTGGAAAAATATATTAAAAATTTTATACCTTTCCCCTTAAAAAAAATTTTTTATTTTAAAATTTAATATCTATAATTAAAAATTTTAAAAAAATATAAAAATCTTAAATTAATCAATAATTAAAAAAAAATTATCACAAAAATTAAACCCCCTTTCCCCAAAAAAACAATAAAAACTTTTTATTATTTTATAAATCTGAAAATAAAATATACCCTTTTAATTAATTAACTAAAAAATAATAAAAAAAAAATTTTATAAATCTATTTTTTAAATTTTAAAATTTTAAAATAAAAAATTAAAATGTAATTTTTAACTTTTACAAAAAATTTTTCTTAAATTATTTTATAAATAAATTATTATATATATTTTTAAAATATATTATATATATATATATATTATATAATATATATATTATAAATAATATAAAAATTATATATAATAATATATAAGTTATATAATACCTATAAATTTAAAATCTATATTTTATTTTAAAAATTTTATATATATTTTAAAATAAAATATAATTATATATTCTATATAAAAAATTTTATATATATATATATATAATATATATAAAATATATATATATTTTAAAATCTAAATAATATTTTTTAAAATTTTCTATATATAAAATATCTTTTAAATATATATATATCTATATATATATATATCTATAAAAAATATATTTTTATTATAATCTAAATATATATATTTAATATATATATAAAATTTTATATCATTTTAAAATATATATATATATTTTATATAATATTTCCTTTTAAATTATATAAAAAAATATATATATATATATAAAAATATTATCTATATATAAAATATTTTTAATTATATATTTTTAATAATAAAATATATATATAGTATAAAAATTATATCTATATAATATATATTTTATAAAAATATATAATATATAATATAAAAAAAAAATATATATTATATATATATATATACTATATATATAAAAATTATTTATAATCTTTTTATTAAATTATATAATTATTTTAAAATATTAATATTTTTTCTAATTATATAAAATTAAAAAAACTATATATTTTAAAAATCAAAACTAAAATTTTAAATATATTTTTCAAATTATATATTTTATATATATATTATCAATATATAATATATATTTTCTAATAAAATATATATAAAAATTCTATATTTTTTAAATTTTATATATATTTAAAAATATAATATTTTATAATTCTATATATATAAAAAAAGTATATTTTAAAATATGAAATATATAAAATTCTATTATATATATATATATATAAAATTATATTTTTTTTTAAATATATATATTATATTTTTATATATTACTTATATATAATTAAAATAATTATATTAATTATAAAATATCTTTTATAAAATATACTATTAATATTTTTTTTTTTTTTTTATTTTAAAATTTTTTTTTTTTATTTTTATTAATTATAAAATTAAAATTTATTTTTATAGATATATATTTTAAAATTAAATATAATTATATTTTAATATAGAATATATATTTTCATAAAAAAATTAATAATTCAAATAAAAATCAAAATATATAATCTATTTTAAAAAAATATAAATCTCTAAAAAAATTAAATATAACTATATAATATATAAATAAAAATTTTAAATTTTAAAAATTTTTAAAATCTTTTATAAAATTTTAAAATCTAAATATTATAAAATTTAATAAAAAATCTAAATAATATATAATTATTTTATTATATTATAAAAATATTTTCTATATATATTAAATTTTATATATAAAATTTTAAAATTAATATATATATAATATAAACAAATAAAAAAAATATATAAAACCCAATATATATCTATATATATTTATAAATATAATATCTAAAAAATATTATTATATCAAATATAACAATAAAATATTATAAAATTTTAAATAAAAATTATATATATCTATATAAATATAAAAACTATAAATATCAATATATATTATATATAATTAATAAATAAATAAATAAAAATATAAAATAATATCTTAAAAATATATATAAATATATCTATATATATATATATATTTATAAATCTATAAAATATATATAAAATTATAATAAATATAAATCTTTTTTCTATATATATATATTATAAAATAAAATATATATCTAAAATTTTTATATATCAATATATATATAAATACCCATATATATATATATATCTATATATAAATAATATCTATATATATTATTATATCAATATTATATATATAATCTAATATATATATATACCCAAATATATATATCAAATAAAATAAAAATATAAATTTTTTCTATATATATATAAATCTATATATATATTTTAATCTATATAAAATATTTTATAAATTATATACCATAAAAATTCTATCTATATTAAATAATCAATCTATATATATATATATCTTTTCAAATTTTTAATTAAAATATATCACAAATAAATATATATATATCAAACAATAATATAAATAAACTATCTATATATATTTTAAAATACTATATATTATAATATAAAAACTATATATAAATATATATCATATATATATAAAATATCTATAAATATATATATATCTATATATATATATATCTAAATTTTATATTTCAATAAAATATATATCTATATAATATTTTAATCTATATCTATATATATATATACTAATATATATATCTATAAAACATATATATTTATCTAAATCTATATATACTATATCTATATATATCTATATTTTATTAAAATTTTCTATATCTAAATATATTATAATATATATTTTATATATTATATATATAAAATTCAAAATAAATATTTTCTATATATATATATTTATATATTAATATATATATAAAATTTTATATATATATATCTATATATATAAATATATATAAAAATAAAATATATATATATTTTTATAAAAATAAAATATAATTAAATACTATATAAAAAATCAATATATATATTTTATATAATAATATTATACAAATTATATATATATATTATATAATATATATACTATATATATCTATATATAAAAATTATATATATAAATATATAAAATATAAAAATAAATTAAAATTATATCCATATATATATTAAAATATAAAATATATATAAATCGATATTATTTTTATATAAATAATATATTATTTTAAATATTTTAAATAAAAAATTTTTATATATAAAATAAAATATAAAACTATATAATAAAAAAATATATAAAATATATAAAAAAAATTATATAAATATATCTATATATAAATATATATAAATTTTATATATATCAAAATATAAATATAAAAAAAAATAATATTATAATATATAAAAATTTCAATAATAAATATAAAATTATATAAAATATAAAATTATATATTATATATATATATATATATATAAATCAAAATATAAAATAAATAATATATATTATCTACAATAATTATAAAATTAAAAAAATTCCCCTTAAATATATAAAATTTTATATATATATAAAAAACTATATATTTAATATATATTATATATATATATAAAAATAAATAAAATATATAAAAATTTATATAAATATTTTAAAATTCTAAAAAAAATATATAAAATTAAAATAAAAATATATTCTATTTTTAAAATATAAAAATTATATTTTATATTATATATATAATATATAATTATTAAAATAAAAATGTCTATCTATATTATCAAATATATAAAATATATAATATTTTAAAAATTTTTAATAAATAAAAAATTTATATTTTTTAATAAAAAATTATAATTTATAATAAAATTATATATAAAATATATATATATATATATAATTTTATATATATATAAAAATATATATATTTTAAAAAAATATATATATAATTTAATAAAATATATATATATAATATTTTTATAATTTTAATAATATTATAATAAAATTAAAATATTAAAATTTTAAAAAATATATATAATTATAATATATATATATATAAATATATATATTATAATTTTAAAATATATATATATTAAAATATATAATATAAATTTAAATATATATTTAAATATATAAAATATAAAATTTATAATATATATATATTTTAAATATATAAATATAATTAAAATTATATATATAAAAATATATATATTTTTATAATAAAATATATTTTTAAATATATATAATAATATATTTTATAAATATATATATTTAAAATAAAAATATATTTTAAATTTTATATATAAAATAATATATATATATATTATTATAGAATAAAAATAATAAAAAATATAAAAATAATTATAAAATATATATATATATATAAAATTAAATATATATTTTAAAATATATAAATTAAAATATAAAATTTTATATAATATATAAAAATATATATAAAAAATATATAATATAGAAATTTATATTTTAAAATTTTTATAAAAATATTATAATAT